CTATAATTGAGTTATGTATGAATGAAAGTAGAAAAATAAGATGAAGATGAAACATCCGAAATAATCTAGCAAGAAATGAGGACAAAGCTATTGAAGATGGGTTTTTTGTTTTATTGATAAACAAAAGAACGGAAAGTGTTGAAGGGTCGGATGGGTGTCTTCATAATTAGCAGAAAACGGAAGACTTCTAACAATAAAATATGTTGATGGTGGGGAAAGTACTAATGGGTTTCCGTAGAAACAATAATAAATAGAATCGCTTACAAAATACGGTAGCGTGCCTATTCGCTTCATTACAAATATATAGCAGGTGTAACAAAAATATAAAGTCGAACTTCCATATAGTGATAGTACGAGGGCGGTTCGAAAACTTCTTAGCCTGAAAAAGAATAGTTAGTTTTTCAAAAATATTTTTCCAGCTTCTTGTTTAAACAAAATATGTTTACTATTTTGCTTCGGACTCTCTCTACCGGTGTCCCATTAATTGCCAATGTGGAAGGAGACCGCCTGTTATCCTTTCCGATAATCTTCTACTTAGTTTATATACCCTTCACCACACTTTGGTACAGGGTATTATGCCTTTGGCAATAGTTTGTAACAGGCAAAAGCAATCGAATCAAAAACATGGTTCCTTTTGAGAATATGCATAGAATCACTTTCTGAGTTGATTTATGCATGTCGAATTTGGATGAAATTTGGCACAAGTCACTTATTTGGTCCAAGGACAAACACTACTGAAAATTGGCTCTTACTTACTTACTTAGCTGGCCTGTTACAGAACGGTTGTTCCATAAGCCGAGCTTAAAAAAGATTTCCAAGCGCGGCGGTCTTGTGCGCAAATCCACCAATTTGGAAGACCACGTTCCAATATGTTGTTTTCTACTTGGCATTTCCATCTAATTCGTGGCCTTCCCCTTGTACGGGAACCATCAGTATGCTCGTTTTTATATGCATTTTGAGCTGGGGCATTCTCATTCATCCGCAAAACATGGCCTAGCCACCGTAGTCGCTGCAGCTCAATACGACTGACTATGTCTATGTCCGCGTATAAATGGTAAATCTCGTGGTTCATTCGACGCCGATATTTACCGTCGACGCAGATCAGCCCGTAGATCTTTCAGAGAATTTTTCTTTCAAACACCCCAAGAGCTGCCTCATATGCTTGCGCAAGTACCCATGCTTCTGATCCGTATAATAGCACGGGTAGTATCAGCGTCTTGTAAAGTGTGAGTTTGGTCTGGCGGGAGGTGGTCTTGTTTCTAAACTGCTTACTTAGACCATAGTAGCATCTGTTGGCCATCACAATCCTTCTCCGAACTTCAAACCTGATGTCAATCGTTTTATTTATGGCGGTACCAAGGTATATAAGGTCTTTAACTACCTCGAAGCTGAAGTTCTCAATTTCCCCAATATTTGTCCGATTTGGACAAAATTGAGCATAGCATATTGAAATTACTACAGAGTAACGTTCATGAAGTTTTTTTGAAATCAGTTCAGATTTAGATATAGCTCCCATATATATATATTTATATATTGGCCCGATCAAAGTCCCTACATATCATTTGCACGAAATTTGGCATAAGGTACTTAATTAAATCTAGGATTATGTGTGTTAAGTTTCGCGAAAATCGGTTCAGATTTAGATGTAGCTCCCATATATATTTTCGTTCGATTTATTGTAAATCTGTATATCATTCGATTTGCACGAAATTTTGCATAGCGAACTGAATTATGTCTAGGCTGACGAATGAAATGAAATTAAGCATAAGTTGCAGAATGGCATATGTTCGGGTTGATGTTAGTCGGTTTACATATAGATAAAGATCATATATTTAATTTCGTTATTTAAAATTTCCTCAGAAAAGGCGACATCTGTTAGGATACATTGTCGAATATACCCAAAATGCTGAAGGGTATCATATAGTCGGACCAGTCCGAATTAACTACTATCCCTACTTGTTTAGTTTGAGAATCTGGTGATTAAATTTTCGATACAATTAATGAACTTAGGATATGAATTTATGGAGGAAATCAAATAGCAGTCTGAATCTTGATTCTTGAAATATTTTTTCGGAATATATATTGAAAAGTATGCACCCTTATCTGACACCTTTTAATATTGCAATATCTTTTATAAAATCTGTACATGCAAATAAATTGAGAATGTTAGTTAGCAAAAAATATTTTCAGCTCGCTTAGATGAACCACACAAGTCGAGCTTTTGTTATTGTATTTTGTGCGTAGTTCGCTGCAAATTGTTCATACGTTGATGTATTACTTCCCGGAATTCTTTTAAATAGGCAGGACTATATCCTGCAGATTATATGGTCGCAGTATTTCGTTTATTCTGAGCAAAGTATGGCACTGTCAGCTGGTGGTAATCCCTGTTTTCTTTAAATATTTCCTGCAAATTTGACAGGTAACCTGACTTCCATTATGTGTCGAAGCAGCAAAAATTCTTTGCGAAACCCTGCTGCGGTCAATTTTCTTGGTAGAACCAATACCACCCACAAACAGAAATCACATTTTCATTCCGGTAATACCTCCATAAACGTCTTCTTAGAGTGTAGAGTAAGGATGAGATCTAAAGAGTGCACCGGGATTGGACTTCCTGTTAAATATCGTTCTTTTTCCAAGTCATTGCAATGAATCGATCATCGTTCATAACACTGTGGTGGGTATTGACTGTACAAACCACGTTTAAATCCTTGAAATGTCTTAGTTCTTCATTGAGGCAAGATACTGTTGAACGCAAGTCATGGTTTTGACGATGTCGTCTTCCTCGACTATCGGCGATTGATCTCTATTCGTCGCCGCCCCGAAAAGAACTAGATCCATCTAATACGTCCATTTAGCTATTGTTTTCCAGTCGCTAATTTTTGTTCTCGTACGCCGACTTTCTTTTGCTTCAATCGTTCACCCAAATCTTCTCGTGCAACTAAAAATATCTAAATGTATGACTTAGTTCCTTTTGAAGAGCGAACCACTTCAGGAGCTAATAGAGAAACAGACAAATGTAATTTTATTTGATTCGGAAATCATTATACCCTTCACCACACTGTGGTACAGGGTATTATGTCTTTGTGCATATGTTTGTAACAGGCAAAAAGGAAACGAGATAGACACATGGTTCCTTTTGAGAATATGCATAGAATGTCCGTCCGTCCGTGTATTTTTGTTAACACAGTACAGGTCGCATTTGTGATCCGATTTGGATGAAATTTGGCACAGGTCACTTATTTGGCCAAAAGACGAACCCTATTGAAATTGGGAAAAATCGGTTCATATTTAGATATAGCTCCCATATATATATTCATCTGATTTTAGGTAAATAGTGCACCAAAGTTCCTATATATCCTTCGATTTGCAGAAATTTGGCATAGCGTACTGAATTAAGCCTAGAACGATGTGTGTTAAATTTCGTGAAAATCGGCTCAGATTTAGATATAGCTCCCATATATATTTTCGTCCGATTTTATGTAAATAGTGCACCAAAGTCCCTATATATCCTTCGATTTGCACGAAATTTGGCATAGCGTACTGAATTAAGCCTAGAACAATGTGTGTTAAATTTCGTGAAAATCGGTTCAGATTTAGATATATCTCCCATATATATTTTCGTCCGATTTGAGGTAAATAGTGCACACAAGTCCCCATATATCCTTCGATTTGCACGAAATTTGGCATAGCGTACTGCATTAAGCCTAGAAGGATGTGTGTTAAATTTCGTGAAAATTGGTTCAGATTTAGATATAGCTCCCATATATATTTTCGTCCGATTTTAGGTAAATAGTGCACCAAAGTCCCTATATATCCTTCGATTTGCACGAAATTTGGCACAGCGTACTGAATTAAGCCTAGAACGATGTGTGTTAAATTTCGTGAAAATCGGTTCAGATTTATATATAGCTTCCATATATATTTTTGTCCGATTTTATGTAAATAGTGCACCAAAGTTAGTAAATGAAGAACTCAAATGTGGCCGAATGCAAAAAAACATACTGAAATAAGTGTAACCTAACATGTGACAAGTTTCGATGAAATCGGTTTAGATTTTGATATTTTGCTTTGCAACTCTATATCTGACCAAAATTTAGTATAGGTTGCAGAATGACATGTGTAATTTCATGTTAATGGTCCTTCCAAAATGCGACGTCTGTTAGGTTTCCTTCTGTTGGATATACCCAAAGTGGTGAAGGGTATCATATAGTCGGCCCCGTCCGACTTTACTACCTTCCTTACTGATTTAAAATTTGTGTATAGGGTTGTGCCGTTGCCATTATATTTACCTCCATTTATTTGCTAAATCAATCCAATTTAAATGCAATAAAAATGCGATTTGCTCGAAATCCTATCCTAAATCGAGATCATTTCAAATACAACACTGTTTTTATTCATTTCTCCATAATGTTTATATTCAAAATAACTGTCAACAAAAATATATCAACTGCTGAAATATATATACGATATTTTTTAATTTAATATTACTATAATTTAAAACAACAAATTTTGGACCTAAGAGGGAACAGGTTACAGTCATTTTTTGTAACGTCGATTAACAAATCGAGTCGATTTAGAAGGCATAGCCTAAACGCGTCTTATATTATCTTCGAAGAGATACACAAACACATAATTTTCTTCAGTGTATATAACACATAAATATAACGGTTTTGAAAACGTATGAATGATAACATGCGCAAAGCGAACAGCTGTTTATACCAAACGTAAGTATTCTCCCCTAAAATTGACAACAACACACAGCTGTTTATGGTAAACTCAAACAGCTGTTTTCTCGACGCATACTCACTTTATCCCCCTCAACAAAATAAGGGATGACATTGATTCACTTCAGCAGAAAAAAAACACTGTTATACATTTTCAGTATCATTCTTGTGCTAGTCTCAAATCATTTTAGAAGTGTTCAGTGAAATTTTTCTCAGTTCATTTAAATTAACAACAACATTTAGAAAAATAATTATTAACACAACTTTCTGTAAATAATGAAATTATTCTATTTGGCCACACTGCTAGGATTAGTAACACTAACTACAGCCAATATCAATGGCCCATATCTACTTTGGGGTCATGAAAAAGTCATAAATCTTCAGCCCCGAGCCCTAGTGGAAGCGAGTGAAAATCATTTTTCCGATTTATTTCGTGATGCCAAAGCGATTGTGATATTTGTTCGCAACAGTACAAAACGTTTAGATGGCCAGCAGTATCCGAAATTCCAGGAATTAATACGAAATAATGCCTGGTCATATTTGCCACAGCATTCATTATCGGCTGATCCTTTTAATTATAATGCCAATATTGAGGTATAACAGTGTGTAGTACGAAATTGTGAAAAATTGTGTATAATATTCTAATGTCTTCTTCTTGCTCTTTTTATTTGTGGTGTTGTTGTTACTGCTATCATTGTTATTGGATAACAACTGTAGGTTATAAATTTAAGTGGTCCCGTTGAGGAGAGTGATTCGGAAATTGTTGGTGGCTTCACCGATGCTTTGTCCATTTATGGTGAAGGCGAAGTCTTGGGAATATTAGCCAGCCGTGAAGAAGAAGCTCACTTTATTGCCAAACGTGCTGCCGGCGAAGGTGAGGGAGATGAGAGTGCCAGTACCACTGCCTCACCACCCGGTCCTGAAGAATTTGAGGATAATTATATATACGTAGCAAATGGTGAGTATTTAAATACAAAAAAAAAACTTGTTCGAATACGAAGAAAATATTCCGCATGTTTATTCAAAGTCCTTCTCCTACGAAGTGTCGGTGTAGAAGACATTTTTTACCACAATTGTTGTCATATATTCTATAGAAAAACATCCCAAAGTAAAAATTGTCATCAAATACAAGGAATTCGGAGAGATAAATATCTCATTTTTCTGTCTAAAGAAATAAGACTTTTAGGTAATGACCAAGATATTCTAACAAAAACACTACCAGAGTTGTTACCCGGAATGTTTGCTCCGGATTCTTCTGGTCCGTTTGCTCCGTTTGTCATCATACGTCTATATCGGTGAGATGCAACGGATACGGAGAATGGATACATTTTAGAAGTTGTTCCGATTTAAGCCGGCTACAGGGGTATAGCGAAAGGGACTACATTACTTCGTGGTGCGCCAATGCAAGCCCCAGTGAGTCGTCGTCTTCAGATTACGTTACTCCCACCGAAATCTATCCAACAGCAATCTGTGCCTCAGTCACTTACACGACGCATTGCTGTCACAAATCCTGATAATGTCTCATTTCTTCAATTCAACTTCAATGGACTTCAAGTAAACGATATTGTGTATTTTATGAGCCGCAGATGTTTATGGTGGCGAATGATATAACGACATAAGGAAGGGTCGTACGAGAGGTGGAAGTTTAGCATTCTTTTTGTGTCATTCTGCAGATGTATCTCTCTTGGTCGCCGTGATACATGGAAAAGAAGCGGTCAACAACATCTTGACCTATATTCCGAAATCGCTTTGCTGCGTGTTACTTATCAGGTATTAGTCATGATTGGGAAGTCAATAACCGTCTGGTTCAAGTATTTCAATGCACATCATGAATTATGCCATTCCATCCTAGGTTATGACCAGAGGGACATGGCGCCGACCGAGAAAATGTATAGCTCAACGTTTTTCACTTTAAATGAGGACATACCCACAACGATAAGGGGAGGCTGCCAAAGCTCACCGAATATTTCCATCGTGTCTCCAGGTCTGACAAATGATTTGGGAACGTCAGTTCATTGGAGTCAGATCACCTCACTATCATATCGATCAATAGACCATCCGACTTCATATTTTCTGAACACCGTACTTTTCTTAACCATGGGAAAGCCAATTGGCAAGAGTTCATAATTTTCACCAATCGTCGCTTCAGAGATGCTCGGTTAGCAGGAAGGAATTTCGGGGTCATTACTCGATATATAGCCGAGGGTCGTATACCCGAATTGTGACCAAACTTTTCAGCAAAGGTAGCGGGATTAGCAAATGAGCGTGATGAGCTATGTCGTACTAACCCCTACTACTACTACTACTAAATCAGAGAACTGATGGAAGTGAACAGGTTAGTGGCGAGCACAAGCGGAATAAGTGGTTAGAAAAACAGAAGTACTGTAACATCATCACCGGAGTGAATAAATTGTTGGCAACGGTTAAGTCGCTCTCGATCCCAGGAAGGATGATCGGACATCTGTCTTATTTAACATCGCTGAGGTAAAAGATCCCAGAATCAGAGAACTGTGTAAAGAAGTGCAGAGGTTAGTCGGCGAGCACAAACGGAAAAAGTCTGAAGTGTTGTAACATCAGTGCCGGAGTGAGTAAATTGTGGACAACGGTTAAGTCGCTCTCGAACTCAGGAACGATGATCGGACATCTGTCTCATTAACTGTCGTTGAAGTGAATGGTCAGAAGAGGTGCGCGAGTGGTTTCAACCGGCTGTTTGTAGAGCATCCCGATAGTGACAGGGCATATAGAAGAGCATTGCGCCGTATAAGATCTCTTCAAGGGGAGCAGAAACCAACACAATTTTTTTTTGAAGGATGTTGTAAGTGCTATTCGAAGCTCAAAATCATAAAAGGCGCTTGGTCCGTATGGAATCTCCATGGTGGTGTTGAAACAGCTTGATGAACCAGGAGTAGTGTTCCTAACCAAAGTCCTTAATTTGTCGTTAGCAACCCGAATAGTTCCCGATGCCTGGAAAATGGGCAGGGTATTCCCGCTACTGAAGCCAGGACAGGATGCCAGCAAAGGTGAATCAAACTGGTCGATCTAACATTTGCTAAGGCTCTCAGTGCTACTCAGTTGCTGATCATCAACACGGATTCCGGAAGCAGTACAGCACAACAACAGCTTTGCACGCCAAGCTTAAGTCTTTCCATAAAGAAGGGTTCAACCAGGCCAGGCCGTGTAATAGGACACTTATGGTGGCGCTGGACATATCAAATGTTTTTGATATTGTCAGTCACTCTAAATGTTCGAGGACGTCGAACGATAAACCCTACAACCAAGTTGGAAACGTACGTCATCCGTATGTGGAATTTAGAAATAAGCCGTGTAATAGGACATTTTTGGTGGCGCTGGACCTATCAAAGACATTTGATACTGTTAGTCACGACAAGATGTTCGAGGACAACAACGCCCAGCACAGCTTGATACCTTGCATTGTAACATTATATGTGTGGACGCCAGAACAGGTCGTTTAATACGGCAGTTATGCCACTTAGAGTTGAACAGGGAGTTCCACCCAAGTTTGAAACGTTGGATTGTGAATTTTATATATAGACGCCAGTCGTACGTGGAATTCAGAAATAGGAAGTCGGAGGAAGGGTGATATCTCCGTAACATGTAAACATATACCTTTCTGAAATTCCAAGCCCACTGGATGGCACAAAAGATCGTCGTACTTGGGTAATTTTACGATCATGGCGAAAGGACCGAAAACTACGAAATTTGCGAGAGATTCTACAGGTCACATTTGATAGCCTCTATAAGTCTTCCGGCTTATGTCACAGCCTTTTGCATAAGGTCGGGAACAGGAACAAGGTTCTCAAGTCTCTAGCCGGCAACGCAATGGAAAAATCCTGTCATAAATTCCGCCCTGGGAACTGCAGTAGGGTATCTCTCCAATAGATGCTTGGATCTTGTAGAAGCCATCCAAAGCAACACCTTAGGACCCGCCACATAGGCATGCCAGAAAGGATATTCATGACTTGGAGAAAGAGGTCCAGAGGTGCAAAAGGCAGCCTCTAGATCAACAGCCCAATCAATAAGGATTGAATTGTATTCACACAGATGTTCAAAATTATGTACGATTGCTAGACTACAATTTTATTACACCATAGTTTTGAAAGGGATGGGGTCTTTGTTCGGCAAGTTTGATACTTGATGCAGATTTGATTGAACCCCTAATGTATATCGAATCACTATTAAAAAAGTGTTAAATGACAATGCAGATAACATATGGGTTGGATTGGGATAAAAAATACGTGCTCCAGTTGCCAGCGGAAATCTTGTAATGGATGATTCCAATATTTTTACCACCCTGTATACAACTATGTTGTTAGGGTATTAACGTTTTGTGTGGCCCCAAGAGTGTGGAATCTAGATAACCAAGTTGGCACGGTCCAAAGAATATTTTCGTGGTAAATATGTGTTGAACCCTTCGATGTCCACCGCCATCCACCTTATTCCCTGTATTCTCTACATGATCTGTGGACCAATTGCTTGTGAGGAAGATTCATTAATAAATCTTTTCACCTTTATTTTTCTTTGATTCCAGGTCGAAAAGCTGTTTTGAATGTTAATGCCGCCCCTGAATTGCATATCAATCACACCACCCTGTTGCTAAAAGAGCACACGAAAGAGATAACATTCGATGATCAACGTTCTAAGGGTTATGGACGTTTGAGTGTGATTTTCAAAGTGAATGATGAAAAGGCAACGTTGCGTTTTAATTTCACCCTTAAATATGGATCATGGGCAATGAAGGCCGTGGAGGTGCGTTACAAAGACTATGAAACTGTTTTGCAAGTTGTTGGTCGTATGTATGATATACCCTCAGCACCATTGAAATTCTCGTATAGATGTTCGGCACGGGAATTACAATTTACAAATGGTAATGATACACTGGTACTGAAAGATTATCAGGTGAGGAGCAGCATTTTGATTTGTTTATGAAAAAATAATTGATTTTAATTTCATTTGTAAATTTCAATTTTCAGGTCCAACCCTGGCTGGATGGTGCTGAACGCTTTGGCGATGTCTATGATTGCATCGGATTTACCACTGCTCCCATATGGGCGGGAGTATTGGTAACATTGTTTTTGGTCGGCATTTTGTCAATTGGCATCTTGGCCCTAATGGATATTAAGACACCAAATCGTTTTGAAAGTTCACGCAGCAAACAATTGACATTTACAGTACAGGAGTAAATTGGAGAGGGGCTCAAATTAATCACATATTCCCCAAAAAGTACATCCTTGCCTTGGGATTTTGTCTCAACACAAGGAAACCTAAATAATGTTTGTTCCCATGATTGTGGGCATAATAAAACCATTGCTATTATTGGCCTTGGCAGTGCAAATATTTCTAATTCAATCTTTGTTCATTTGTATAGTATTGTATATTTATTTATGTTGTTTTTATTAGTACAATTAACTCCAAAGAAAAAATAAAAACAAATACAACAAACAAAATTATAATTATATATATTGTAAACGGAAATAGCCTAAAAAATAATAACAACAACAAAAATATACTTGTTTGCTAATTTAAATGAAATAAAATACAAAATATAAATTAATAAAATAAACTACTCAAAATATTATGGACATGATTATTATCAATATATATTTATGTATATATATTTATATGTATGTACGTATGTGAGTTACCCAGTTAGCCACTCAAAACCCAAGAGATTTCCTTTAGATAAGGCCTCTGCTCAAATATGAAATTAAAGAAGTTTTTGTACCCCAAAAATTTTACTTTTTTCCAAAGCCGAAGTTGTTGTTGTTGCTGCCGATGTTGTATCATTTTCAACTTCTTTGCAGTTTTACTTTCTAATTTGTTGACCAAAATATGTTTGAATGAAAAATAACAAAACAAGAAACAGAAAAAAGGAGAAAAAATGTTAACTTTTGGTTACACGCCTTTGGCAAGTGGGTAAGTATCAATCGCATGTAGGTAACATTATGGGTATAGGCGATTCCACCATAAGCATTAATCATGAACCTTGAAAAAATATTCTTTAAAAAATCCACGCCTTTGATAGGCCTCGAAAAAGTATTCTTTAAAAAATCCACGCCTTTGATAGGCCACGCCTTTGATAGGCCTCGAAAAAGTATTCTTTAAAAAATCCACGCCTTTGATAGGCCTCGAAAAAGTATTCTTTAAAAAATCCACGCCTTTGATAGGCCTCGAAAAAGTATTCTTTAAAAAATCCACGCCTTTGATAGGCCTCGAAAAAGTATTCTTTAAAAAATCCACGCCTTTGATAGGCCTCGAAAAAGTATTCTTTAAAAAATCCACGCCTTTGATAGGCCTCGAAAAAGTATTCTTTAAAAAATCCACGCCTTTGATAGGCCTCGAAAAAGTATTCTTTAAAAAATCCACGCCTTTGATAGGCCTCGAAAAAGTATTCTTTAAAAACCCACTCCTTTGATAGGCCTCGAAAAAGTATTCTTTAAAAAATCTACGCCTTTGATAGGCCTCGAAAAAGTATTCTTTAAAAAATCTACGCCTTTGATAGGCCTCGAAAAAGTATTCTTTAAAAACTCCACGCCTTTGATAGGCCTCGAAAAAGTATTCTTTAAAAAATCCATGCCTTTGATAGGCCTCGAAAAAGTATTCTTTAAAAAATTCACGCATTTTATAGGCCTCGAAAAAGTATTCTTTAAAAACCCACTCCTTTGATAGGCCTCGAAAAAATCTTCTTTAAAAAATCCACGCCTTATATGAGCTTCGAAAAAATCTTCTTTAAAAAATACACGACTTATATAGGCTTCGAAAAAATCTTTTTTAAAAAATACACGACTTATATAGGCTTCGAAACAATCTTCTTTAAAAAATACACGCCTTATATAGGCCTTGAAAAAATAGTCTTTTAAAAATATACGCCTTTATAGGCTTGAAAAAATATTCTTTTAAAAATATACGCCTTTATAGGCTTGAAAAAATATTCTTTTAATAATCCACGTCTTTGATAGGCCTTGAAAAAATATTCTTTTAATAATCCACGCCTTTGATAGGCCTTGAAAAAAATATTCTTTTAAAAATCCACGCCTTTGATAGGCCTTGAAAGTATATTCTTTAAAAAATCCACGCCTTACATGAGCCTGGTTCGTGTGCATTCACCCATATGTTTCCAATCGAATAAAAGTGAAATGTTATCCTCCATATATGTCGGGCTCTTGTTGCACAAAAAATCGTTAATTGTTAAGAATAAATAAAACACACAGACACTCACACACTTGAAAAAGTTCAAACAAATCAAACCAAACTGAGTCGGACAAAACAAAAACCTCAACCAATTTTTGTGCCTCATACTGTGGTGATAAACATCATTTTCATTTGCTCAGGTAGTTAAAAAAAGTTGCACAAACTCTATGAAAACTTGACCACTTCAACTTATATTACCGATCAACTTTTCATTTCTATAAAAACCGAAATCGAACTTGATGATGATGGCGGCGATGGTCAACAAAAAGAAAACATAATTCAAAACAAAGTTTTGCGATTTGTTTTTGTTGGCTGTAAAAACCTCCCAAGAGTCTCTTGGCCAAAGAGGCCAGTAGTCGTCATTCTGGTCTTGGTATCGCATCATATTTCGCAGCCAACATACACATACCCTCTTTGATTTGTTGTCCTCGATGCCATTGAATGTGGGTCTAAACTGGCCAAATTACTTTCGTTGTCGTTGCACATAAGATGACAAAAAAAAAAAACGAAATTTCTTTGTGTCCCACTTTTTAAACGTTCGATCATCATTCAGGTGCAGCATGGCATAGTTGCAACAGCATCATTAGTTTGTCTGTGGCCCTGGCTTCGTGTTGCAGCAAATCGCAATCACAATTAAAACATAATACGGCAAGTGGCTGGTTCAACGAGGCTGTGTCGTATCGGTCACCAGTGTCTGGAGACAGTTTGAAGTTTAGATTGGCAGTTCGATTGACATTCTCTTCGATAGGAGAGGCCAACGGATTGGATTTACTTTTTATTAATTTAGAGAGGTTTTATATAGGGCCTTAATAAGGCGTGGATTTTTAAAGAATTTTTTTTTTTCAACGACTATCTAAGGCGTGGATTTTTAAAGAATTTTTTTTTCAACGACTATCTAAGGCGTGGATTTTTAAAGAATTTTTTTTTTCAACGGCTATCTAAGGCGTGGATTTTTAAAGAATTTTTTTTTCAACGACTATCTAAGGCGTGGATTTTTAAAGAATTTTTTTTTTCAACGGCTATCTAAGGCGTGGATTTTTAAAGAATTTTTTTTTCAACGACTATCTAAGGCGTGGATTTTTAAAGATTTCTTTTTCAACGAGGCGTGGATTTTTAAAGATTTTTTTTTCAACGAGGCGTGGATTTTTAAAGATTTTTTTTCAACGAGGCGTGGATTTTTAAAGATTTTTTTTTCAACGAGGAGTGGATTTTTAAAGAATTTTTTATTTTGGCGTGGATTTTTAAAGAATTTTTTATTTTGGCGTGGATTTTTAAAGAATTTTTTATTTTGGCGTGGATTTTTAAAGAATTTTTTATTTTTGCGTGGATTTTTAAAGAATTTTTTTATTTTGGCGTGGATTTTTAAAGAATGTTTTTTTCCAACGACTAAGGCGTGTATTTTTAAAGAATTTTTTATTTTGGCGTGGATTTTTAAAGTATGGTTTTTTTCCAACGACTAAGGCGTGTATTTTTAAAGAATATTTTTTCAATGATTTTTAAGGAAAAATATTCCTTAAGGATTCCAAGGACTATAAAAGTCCTATAAAAATATATTTTCAGGTCATTTCTATTCAATTTCAATAAAAAATTATTCAATTTCTCTTACCTTTGAAATTTATCTCATTTAAAAACAAGGATTCCCTCAAAAGCTCGCGAAAACAACGAGAGAGAGTGCAGTTTGTAGGAGATCGAACGTGACGGCAGCGACTGAGACTGAGACGACAACGAATGCGTGAACGTACGACGAAAACTCGAGATACACACGGCACGCTTCGACATGATCATCAAAAGAATAAGAACACAACACAAAGGCAATTTCAATTCACTTTGCCCAAAATAACAAACTTCGGCAATCAAGTCGCCAAATAGAAATCATAGCGTACACCAACAACAAATAAAGATACACACAATAGATTATGGGCAATTTGTAATGAATGCAAAACTTTTTTTCAGTTCGTTAAAATTACGACTTTTACAAAAATAATCACATTTACAGATTCATAAACTATTTTAATTACACTTCACAATTAGCATTTCTTAAAACATTTATCGAAACTACCGACCGAAAACACGACTCGAGAAACCGCCGACAAAATCGTTTTTGCTACCTGTTACAATGGAAATGTCAATGAACTAATTAGAGTATAATAACAGAGTTGCCACTATCAATATAATTTAATTAGAAGACGATGTGCAGACAAATGGGAACATAATAGAATTGAAACAAGTCAAACATTTTTTTAGTATTTAGTAGTCTAAGGATTTACTTATAGTGAAATATTCTCGTTATAGGCAAAAATCAATTTTAATTTGAAAATGGAGTTTATTTTGCTACATTTTAAATAATATCAGTATATTACGTTAGATTATGTTTGAAAGATGGGTGGTTTACACCACCCTAGAGTTGTGCGCTCTAGAAAGAAAAGATTATTACAAGAAAAAACATCATATGTTTGAGTTTCTTATACTTCTGTGTTCTTATTGAAGTCCTTTAGACTTTTCCATTCACACCCCTTAGGTCGGTTAGTTCGTGGATAGTGGACAGTGAAGTCACGATAGATATGACAATATTTTTAAATAGTGCTCTGAAATTCTGCACAGACAGAATGTTTGGTATTGCAAATGACAGATATCGGTCTACGGTTTGATGTAGCCCCCATATAACGGTACCCCCAATATCCGGTATTTTGGATACGTTTTCCAACCGAATTGGCTATAAATTGGGTTTTTTAGATTCTCATGGTATAGCATATCTCCGTACAAAAAATTATTAATATTGACCCATGTTTTAGGGTTGCCACAATATAACGGTATATAATATAACGGTACTCTCCAGTATTCGGTATTTTGGCACGTTTTCCAACCAAGTAGTATGTAATTCTGTATTTTGGATTCTAATTGTATAGCTCATGTTCGTACGAAAAACTTTTAATTTTACTCACGTTTTAGTGTGTCCCCCATTAAATGGTACCCCCCCATTTTTTGGATTTTGGTAT